ATTTTGTTGAAACTAGTAATTTTACGACACTGATACTTTGTATAACGAGTGTTTAGCCACACCTGGCAAAAATTTTAATATAAATTCAGAATCAAGAATATTAATTTGTTGATTGGGGCTTTGTTAAAAAATTAAATTAAAAAATTTTAAATCATTCTGGAAAAATTAGTTTTCGTTACAGGGGTCCATTACAATCATTTTTGGTTAATATACATACCCCTGAAATTCTATGCACTTTCGAGAAAAAAATTCGAGTAGGTGGACAAATTTAAAAGATTTCAAATCGTTTTGGAAAAATTATTTGCGGTTGTGGGAGTCAATTACAATCATTTTTAGTCAATAGACATACCCTCGAAATTCTAACCTGTTTCGAGAAAAAAAATTCCTTATGGAAAATATAATGTCTGACCAGAAATGGTGCCCCGAAATTTCATGCGCATCTTTAACACGTCATAACTTTTGAACGGATTGAAGGATTTTAATGTTTCAAAATGCAATCGACGCGTATTTTAGTGGAGAATAGGTAGAAATTCTAACAGTATTGAAAAAGTTGTTCCTTAATACCGTAAAATGAGAAAAACCAAACAAATCTGGAGCAATTTTCAAACGGCCATAACTCCAACAATAGTAAAGATATCTCATTGAAATTTTTGTCCGAAGCAGAGCCCATGGACACCTACAAAAAAGTATTAGATATATTTCCTATAGAGCGTCAAACAAATTTATTAAAAATGAAAAACAAATTTTTAAGAAAAATCGACAGGTGGTAGCAAAATTGAAAATTGAAAAGTTTCAAATCGTACTGGAAAAATTGTTTTCAGTTGCAGGGGTTAATTACAAACATTTTTGGTCAATACATATACCTTCGAAATCCTTCACATTTTCGAGAAAAAAATTCAGGGATTTGGACAAATTTTTCGACAAAATTACAAAATTACAAATCGTAATGGAAAAATTATTTTCAGTTGCGAGGGGCAATTACAATCATTTTTGGTCAATAGACATACCCTCGAAATTCTAACTTGTTTCGAGAAAAAAAATTCCTTATGGAAAATATAATGTCTGACCAGAAATGTTACCCCGAAATTTCATGCGCATCTTTAAAACGTCATAACTTTTGAACGGATTGAAGGATTTTAATGTTTCAAAAGGCAATCGACGCGTATTTTAGTGGAGAATATGTAGAAATTCTAACAGTATTGGAAAAGTTGTTCCTTGACCCCGCAAAATTAGAAAACCCCCATAACAAATGGTCTCATTTTCAAACAGCCATAACTCCTATAATAGTGAATATATTTTAATGAAATTTTTTTCTAAAGTAGTACTCATGGGTGCCTACAAAAAAGTATTACACAACTTTTCGGTAGGGTGTCAATCAAAACTACTAAAAATGAAAAACGAATTTTTAAGACAAATTGACAAGGGGGTTAGGTGCCTATATTTTTTAGCAAAATTGAAAAGTTTTAAATCATTCTGGAAAAATTATTTTCGATTGCAAGGATCAATTATAATCATTTTTGGTGAATAGACAAACCCTCGAAATCTTACGCAGTTTCGAGAAAAAAATTCATTACCGAAAATATAATGTCTAATGGTGCCCCGAAATTTCATGCGCATCTTTAAAACGTCATAACTTTTGAACGGATTGAAGGATTTAAATGTTTCAAAAGGCAAATAACGCGTATTTTAGTGGAGAATATGTAGAAATTCTAACAGTATTGAAAAAGTTGTTCCTTAATATCGAAAAATGAGAAAAATCAAATAAAACTGGACCAATTTTCAAACGACCATAATTCCTACAATAGTAAAGATATCTCATTGAAATTTTTTGTTGAAGCAGAGCCCATGGGTACCTACAAAAAAGTATTAGACATCTTTTCTGTATAACGTCAAACAAATTTATTAAAAATAAAAACAAATTTTTAAGAAAAATCGACATTGCTAAATTTTTTAGCAAAATTGAAAAGTTTCAAATCGCTCTGGAAAAATTATTTTCAGTTGCAGGGGTTAATTACAAACATTTTTGGTCAATACATATACCTTCGAAATCCTTCACATTTTCGAGAAAAAAATTCAGGGATTTGGACAAATTTTTCGACAAAATTACAAAATTACAAATCGTAATGGAAAAATTATTTTCAGTTGCGAGGGTCAATTACAATCATTTTTGGTCAATAGACATACCCTCGAAATTCTAAGTTGTTTCGAGAAAAAAATTCCTTACCGAAAATATAATGTCTGACCAGAAATGGTGCCCCGAAATTTCATGCGCATCTTGAAAACGTCATAACTTTTGAACGGATTGAAGGATTTTAATGTTTCAAAATGCAATCGACGCGTATTTTAGTGGAGAATATGTAGAAATTCTAAGAATGTTGGAAAAATTGTTCCTTAACCCCGTGAAGTGAGAAAAGCCCCCTAAAACTGGCCCAATTTTCAAACGGCCATAACTCCTACAATAGTAAAGATATCTCATTTAAATTTTTGTCTGAAGCAGAGCCCATGGACACCTACAAAAAAGTATTGGGCATCTTTTCTGTAGAGCGTCAAACAAATTTATTAAAAATGAAAAACAAATTTTTAAGAAAAATCGACAGGTGGTAGCAAAATTGAAAATTGAAAAGTTTCAAATCGTACTGGAAAAATTGTTTTCAGTTGCAGGGGTTAATTACAAACATTTTTGGTCAATACATATACCTTCGAAATCCTTCACATTTTCGAGAAAAAAATTCAGGGATTTGGACAAATTTTTCGACAAAATTACAAAATTACAAATCGTAATGGAAAAATTATTTTCAGTTGCGTGGGGCAATTACAATCATTTTTGGTCAATAGACATACCCTCGAAATTCTAACTTGTTTCGAGAAAAAAAATTCCTTATGGAAAATATAATGTCTGACCAGAAATGTTACCCCGAAATTTCATGCGCATCTTTAAAACGTCATAACTTTTGAACGGATTGAAGGATTTTAATGTTTCAAAAGGCAATCGACGCGTATTTTAGTGGAGAATATGTAGAAATTCTAACAGTATTGGAAAAGTTGTTCCTTGACCCCGCAAAATTAGAAAAACCCCATAACAAATGGTCTCATTTTCAAACAGCCATAACTCCTATAATAGTGAATATATTTTAATGAAATTTTTTTCTAAAGTAGTACTCATGGGTGCCTACAAAAAAGTATTACACAACTTTTCGGTAGGGTGTCAATCAAAACTACTAAAAATGAAAAACGAATTTTTAAGACAAATTGACAAGGGGGTTAGGTGCCTATATTTTTTAGCAAAATTGAAAAGTTTTAAATCATTCTGGAAAAATTATTTTCGATTGCAAGGATCAATTATAATCATTTTTGGTGAATAGACAAACCCTCGAAATCTTACGCAGTTTCGAGAAAAAAATTCATTACCGAAAATATAATGTCTAATGGTGCCCCGAAATTTCATGCGCATCTTTAAAACGTCATAACTTTTGAACGGATTGAAGGATTTAAATGTTTCAAAAGGCAAATAACGCGCATTTTAGTGGAGAATATGTAGAAATTCTAACAGTATTGAAAAAGTTGTTCCTTAATATCGAAAAATGAGAAAAATCAAATAAAACTGGACCAATTTTCAAACGACCATAATTCCTACAATAGTAAAGATATCTCATTGAAATTTTTTGTTGAAGCAGAGCCCATGGGTACCTACAAAAAAGTATTAGACATCTTTTCTGTATAACGTCAAACAAATTTATTAAAAATAAAAACAAATTTTTAAGAAAAATCGACATTGCTAAATTTTTTAGCAAAATTGAAAAGTTTCAAATCGCTCTGGAAAAATTATTTTCAGTTGCGAGGGTCAATTGCAATCATTTTTGGTGAATACATATTCCTTCGAAATCCTACGCATTTTCTAGAAAAAAATTCAGGAATGTGGACAAATTTTTCGGTAAAATTAAAAAATTTCAAATCGTACTTGGAAAATTATTTTCAGTTGCAGCGGACAATTACAATCATTTTTGGTGAATACATATATCTACGAAATTCTTCACATTTTCTAGAAAAAAATTCAGGAATGTGGATAAATTTTTCGACAAAATTACAAAATTTCAAATCGTTCTGGAAAAATTATTTTCAGTTGCAGGGGTCAATTACAATCATTTTTGGTGAATACATATACCTTCGAAATCCTTCACACTTTCGAGAAAAAAATTCTTTACCGAAAATATACCGTGTGGCCAGAAATGTTTCTATAACTTTTTAACGAAGCCTCAATCAACAAATTGGTATTCTTCATTTTCGTCTTATTTTGACCTCCAGAATCTTCCATTAAAATTTTCGCAGGGGTGGCCGAAAATTTCATCAATTGCAAATGTTGGACAAAATGGTGGCTTCGTAATATCTGGAATTTTGCGTTAGTTTTGCAACTTTCATCCACTATAAGAAACAATTTTTCTTATATTTTTTGGTGCAAATGATGATCTGCAAAAATTACACAATTCTAAGTGTCCATTTACAAAATTTACTATTCATAGCAGATTGTGTCTCCTAAAATCAATTAAATTCTTATGCAAACCTTATTTTGTGGTAGTTAACAAGTTACATTTATAAATTAAAATCCGTAGTCCCATAAAATAGCAATATTTAAGCGTGTTTCGAATCACACAATTCTAAGTGTCCATCCAAAGAAAAACTCACATCAGATTTTGTCTCCCAAAATCAATTAAATTCTTATGCAACCCATTTTTTGTAGCAGTCACGAGTTAGATTTATAGATTAAAAACCAAAGTCCCATAAAACAGCAATATTTAAACGCATGTGCTCTTTTTGTCCCGCCACGAACGTAGCTATAAATCTAAAAACAACAGAAACAAAAATCCGAAACACGAAGATACACGTCCGTGAAATTCTGTCTCTCTTGTATCCGCGCACGATTGGCCTCGAGTACGATCTCCAGCCCAAAATCGTACCATCCCAGACGCGTATAGCGCGTCACGTCCGTGCAATGAATGTTTCAGGGACCCGAACGGCGCCAGCCCGCTGACATCGGGATCCGACGGGCTGCCGAACAGTCCGCCGTTCTGGGATTCGTACGATTCAATAAATCAACTTTACCTGGAGGCAGGCCGTAGCACGGAGATGCGGTCGCATTACAGGGGCCACAAGATGTCCCTGTGGTTGAATCTGTTGCCCCAGCTTCATCGACCGGGCTACGAGATCAGTATGCGTCACCATCACCTGTCCGAAAGTTCGAGTCTTTACGAAGGCGCGGTGCGTCCACAGACTCTGGCGCTTCCGCTGCCGGCGCCTCCGTTGCCGATGCCATCGCCGACGGAACCGTCCTCGGTGTCCAGCGTGATATCGACCACCGAGTGCACACCGAACGCGACGGTCGCTACCACGGTGACCACCACCTCCAGAACGTTGCAACACCCCAATCTGGGCCCAGGACCCAACAATCTCCTGAGGAAGCTAGCATCGAGTCACTACCAGAGCTACACCACCGCCCTCACGGTCACCATAGCGGTCGGAGTGTTCCTGTTGCTGCTGAACATCTTGATCTTCGCTGGTATTTATCACCAGCGCGACAGGAACGTCTCGAACGCAACTGGCGGTCTGTCGTCCGCGTTCGGGGACAAGAAGAAGGAGGAGTTCTTGGAAGCAGGTTGCTCGGGGATCGAGATGTCCGGTAAACAGAGGCTGTCCTCTCTGAACCTGATGAACTCGCCGTCCTCGAGTCCGCCGCCTCACAAGACGAAGCTGGCGCAGGAGTTGGAGCTGCAGCTGCAAGAGTTCCAGTGCTCCCCGCCGCCAGGGGGCGGTAAGAGGATACTGGAGCCTCCGCTGTACACCATGAGCCCCTGCGTGCAGCGTACGCGAACGCCGTCGCCATGCATCGACGCGACCACTGCCAGGATGGACGACGACGACGACGACGGGGACAGCAGCGACGACGACATCGACGACGATAATCTGCCGGAACCGCCGCCGCCCCCGAAGGCACCTGCGCCAAACGTGGCGCTGTCCTGTCCGGGGATCCTCAGGCAACCTGGTACACCTGGCAGCGCCAAGAAACGTGTTCAAATTCAAGAGATCTCCGTTTGAGCGAGACTAGCCGCTACTGCTGGCAGTAGACGATCCGTTGATCCTGGCTGACGAGTTGTTGGATCAGAAATCGATAGAGATGAGCCCGGAAACGGCGTCATCCGGTTAGCAACGTAACGTGCCATGGATTTGAGATGTTTAAAGAGTTTTTCGACGAAGACGCGCATAGGCCTACGGTGCACAGCGTGCAACAGTCTCGAAGATGTGTACTCGCGGTTTCTTAGAATTTTATCGGAGAGAATCCGTAGCTGAAGATTATACAACATCGTAGCGTGATCGAGAGTGGCGGGTTAACGAAGACAGAAGTGTAAACGGAAGCACAATGGCGTCGAGAGAATCTCGATACTCGGTGCGAGGGGCTCGATATACTGTTGAGGGACGACATGATGCCACGCTACCTAGGAACTCAGAGAGTGAAGGGGCAAGGGGGATGCGTTTAATCCCCTCCACTCGTCAGGTTCTTGGTTATTATTGGGTGAGGCGATCGCGAGGTCGAGAACTTAAACAGTGGAGGGGATTTGGTGGATCCCCCTTGCCTCTTGTGCCTTTAGCTCGTGGGTAGTGTCAACTTTTCGTCTTCCAATAGTACAGTGATGTTCGTTTTAATAGCCCCGGATGTACTATGTTGTTTTATGTGAACGGTTAGAGGTTTTATACGATGTTTTTATCACGTAAGATGGATATGCCTCGTAATAGCAATGGCGCGTGTTATGAGCATTGCAGAAGAAGTTTCTAATCACATTGATGAGTAGATGAAGAAATTGTTTGCACTACTAAACCTCGCTAGTTATAAAATACTGTCTTTTAATGATCGATGTGTTATTCCTGACAGATTGTTTTGAATATTATGGAAAGCAACAACTTGGATGGAAAAAATTGGTAGAAATGTTAAAGTTATTGATAGTTTCTATAGATTTATTGACAATTGGGGAAATTTGAGATGGAAGTTTTATTAAAATTTTTAATTCGATGCAATCTTTGAAATGAATTTGATTTTAATCAAAGGGTGTATATAAATTATGGACAAAATAGGAAACGTATGTACATCAAGTTTAGGAGTACTAAGGGATACAGGGGGTTATTTCTCCAAAATATTATTTATTTTTATGTCAATATGGAAGTCAAAGGTAGCTTCCATCGATGTTTCGTACGTTAGTGAACATTGTTGCTGTAAATACGTATTATTTGTTTACTATAGCTCGAGGGAACGTTTCAAAGAACTAAATAGACGAAAAACGTGTTTGTCAATGAATTAATTGAAAAAGAAAATGGACGGTAGAAGCTGAACTACGAAAACTAAATGGTGAAAGGAATTGATAGTTTAGTTTAATCACGAATGAAGATATTATTATCATAAATAAACATTTTATTCGTTGACTCTGTTATTTATTTATTGATTCAGTAGAGATTCGGGAAACAAGAAAATATTGAGTTATAACACAAATAAGTTCAGTTTCGTTCTATATTTTTATTTAATAACAAAGTTTATAATGTTTTATTATCATTTATGACATTTTCTTGTCTTAAAAGCACGTAATATCGTTGCAATAGCATTTTAAAATTGAAAAATTTTATACTTGAATGGAATTTATTTGTGTTAGAACGTTTAAATATTCTTGAGTATATATTAGAAAATATTGAGAATATTTTGTAAAATATATATTAAAGTCATCGTGTGTTTTTCATTTTTCTGAATTTAAATATCGTTTAAATATCATTTATGACATTTTCTTGTCTTAAAAGCACTTAATATCGTTGCAATAGCATTTTAAAATTGAAAAATTTTATACTTGAATGGAATTTATTTGTGTTAGAACGTTTAAATATTCTTGGGTATATATTAGAAAATATTGAGAATATTTTGTAAAATATATATTAAAGTCATCGTGTGTTTTTCATTTTTCTGAATTTAAATATCGTTTAAATATCATTTATGACATTTTCTTGTCTTAAAAGCACTTAATATCGTTGCAATAGCATTTTAAAATTGAAAAATTTTATACTTGAATGGAATTTATTTGTGTTAGAACGTTTAAATATTCTTGAGTATATATTAGAAAATATTGAGAATATATTGTAAAATATATATTAAAGTCATCGTGTGTTTTTCATTTTTCTGAATTTAAATATCGTTGACGATCCATGGAGATCGTTTTTTAGAGAAATTTGCAACGATGGAAGGCAATATGAAAATATTCTGCCTTTTATAAGTGTTATAAAGGCAGCTTGGATGAATATCACAGAATATTGGCATTTTTGTAAACTATTCCTTGTTTGAATTTTTTAATTCATAAAGAACAGGGCAACGTATGAAATACATATTAATAGACGACACAATTGAATTGCAAGTGTATTTTCAGCCATTTTTTCGACTACTTTGGCTATCATTCAATCTATACGTGTCCGCCATGTTTAATTCGTAAGTTTCCATTTTCTGTGAATTTTCTACAAGTGTACTAAGGTGGTACTTCAGTTTTTTCTTTTGTTTTTAAATTGAAAAATACAAATATACCCTTTGCCCAACGAAAAACACACTAATATTACAAAATATTGAAAAATACACTCCTACACACAATTTTATAATCACGTTTAGTATTTTTTCCCCCAAAAAATTGATTCAAAGGTCGCAAAGAGCTTCAAAAATCAATGACAACAAATAAAAAGAAAAATGGAATCACTTTAGCGTAACAAACAAATAGACTGCGGTTCTTTATACAAATTTATATTTTTGTTGATAGAATAAACAAAATGGGAGCTTCATAAAAAGTTGTCTCGACCCTCAAATACAATAAATCGTATCTCACGTACATATTTCCTGTATTTTTGAATATTAAGTGCAATTCTGTAGTTTTCTGAAAATTTAAATTTCCCCTACTTTTCATATTCGTATAATTTCTTGAAAAAAAAACGTAATTTGCCGGGGCTATTGAAACGAACAGCGTTGTACTCGCCAGGAAACACTCGATCGATGCGAACGCGTTACAGCGTCGCTCGATGTTCGATGGAAATTCGATGAAAACATTTTCCAGTGTTTCTTACAGAAAAGGATCAGCCCGAGAGGGGAGCGTGTCAGTGTCGGAGAGGATTCTAGCCAACGATGTCATCGTCGATCGTTAATCGCGCGCAAGTGTTTTGGTTTATCGTGGAAACGATACGGCCGATTTCAAGGTCCTCGGCTGCTCGGAGCTCTTCGGGATTAACGAGATCGAGAACGTTGACCTTTATCGAGCTATTGGGATCCTTTAGAGAACTTCCCCCGTCCCCGTTGAAGGACTAGGATCGTACGAAAACCTCGACTCGACTTCTTTTGATGGCGGGGGGAGGGGCAGCGGTACGGGGAAGTTTCGTAGAAAAACGGGACGTCGAGAACCACGAGTTCGGCTCGTCGAGCATCCATACAAGAAGTTGAATCGCCGGCGGAGGTCGTCGCGACGCTCGACGCTGTGAAACGAGGGGATTGATATAATCTCAGGAACCAAAAAGACAACGCGCTGGGAGGCCTGGGCTTCCTCGGGCTTCCTTTATCCGGATTTGTCGGAGCACTAAGTGGAATTATTCGAGGAATTGTAGGGTCTGACCTCGACTTTTCGGGATCTCGCGACGCGAGAGGAAGTCGTAACCGGGGGGACTGGACCTGATCAAGCGAAACCGCAGGTTATGGATGATGGAGCCTGCTAGCTAATGAATCTGGTGAATTGTCGGAGTTCTTGTCAGTGTAATCGCGCGTGTCCTTAGATTCGAGAGAGTGAGAGAGAATCGCGGAATGCGTGCGAGAAAATGGGAATCGAGCGAACGTAAGAATGGCGTGAACACGGTGGACGAAATAAAATGTAAATTATATTCGATGTGGGTGACGCTTGGAACGCGGAGAGTGTCCGGGGTCCATCCCTAATTCTATTCTATCTTTCTTCTTTGGAGGATGCTTACAAGGACAATTCTCGTCGAGCTTAGGTGAGTCACTTCACGTTTATTATATACAGTGGCTCACGAAAGTGTTCGAACGCATGCAAGAAATAAATGAAACGAAAGAGATATTCAGTTTCGATGATAACATCTTAATAGCTATTAGACGCAAGTATCAGGATAATATGTGCAAAATTTCAACTCGATCCAACAGTGTATATTGAAATTAAGAAGAATAATGCATTTATTATACAAACGTACCGCATGAGGGTCACGAAAGTGTTCGAACGGAAGAAATAATTTACATTTTTCACTACGTTCGTATTTGGTTGGACCTCCTTTTGCCTTAATTACTTCACTTAGACGTCGTCCCATGCTGTGCACCAAGTTCTCCGTCACTGTGGGTTCAATGGAATTCCATATTTGTAATATCTTTTGTTTTAATCCATCCTTTGATGAAATATTGTGGTTTTTTAATCTTCTACCGATTTCGGCCCAGAAATGCTCGATGGGGTTCATGTCTGGACTTTGAGCTGGTGTATTATATAATAATCTTGCACAATCTTAGCTTTGTGCTTAGGGTCGCTATCTTGCTGAAAGTAAAAATTTTCTAACAGGCCTAATTTGACAGCACTTTCTTTTAAAATATGTAAATATTTGGCCTTGTCTAGAATACCGTCTATAAATACAAGATTTCCTACCCCATTTGCTGCCATGCACCCCCAAATCATAACCTCCTCCGTGTTTCACAGTTAAATTTCTCATATTCATTTCCGTATTCGGTTTTCTCCACACACATCGCTGTCCATCCGACCCAAATATGTTAAATTTACTTTCGTCGGGGAAAATAACTCCGTTCCAAAAGTTACAATCTTTACTTTCGTATTCTTTTGCAAACTTTAATCGTTTAGCTTTATTCGCTTTAACGATGAATGGCTTCTTCCTTGGTACTCTACCATTAAAATTATTTTTCCGCAGTATTCCGCGGCATAATTCGGGGTGAACAATTTTTCCAAAATCCTCGCTAACCATTTGAGCAAGTCTTCTTGCCGAAATAGTCGGATCTTTTTTAATTTCGCGAACAACAATCTTCTGTTCCCTTGCACTTAACTTGGTCGGCCTGCACGCTGTTTGTTTATCACTGCACCTTCAATTTTTAACTTTTTTATAATACAGTGGACACACTTCTACCTACACACTTAGCTATTTCTCGATACGATTTTCCATCTTTGTGCATCCTCGCTATAATTTCCCTTTCGCATATTTGCGTTTCTCGTTCTCTTTGAATTCATTGTCACTGAACACACGATAATCGACATCTAACGACATAGAATTTACCATAAGATGTCTAGAGACGGAATCAACTTACAAATGTTTACATATTTTGAAGCAAAACTTACTTCAATAAATTCCACGCGTTCGAACACTTTCGTGACCCTCGTGCAATACGTTTCTATAATAAATGCTTCTTAATTTCAATATACACTGTTGGATCGAGTTGAAATTTTGCACATATTATCC